CCGATATTTGTTTTGGCTTTTTAGTAATTCCATGATAGATCCACTAGCATATTACCTAAGGCAAAAAGAGAAGAAGTAATCTCAACTTCAGTTTGCCTAATGTGTCCATGAGCTATAGCAACACTTGTAAATTTTACTCCTTACTCACTAGGGGATGATTTTGGAGAACAAACTAGCTTTTTATCACTTGCATCAAGAGATCATATTGAATTCTTTTTTCACCAATATTTCTAAGGATTTATAGAGATGCTATGTAGCCATGTACTGTTTCTATGGATTTAGCCCTCAATTTTCCCAGTTTCTGGGCCGCTGTTCTGGCTAAAGATGATAGCTTAAGTCCTTTTACCAGTGAAAGGAGAATTTCATCAAAGTGAAATTTAAAAAACATATTTTTTTCTACTTTTTGAAGAAAGATGAACTTCCCAAATTTGCCTTAATCCTGAATTTGGGTCTAAACATACCAGACAACCATTATAAGAAATTGTTCTCTCATAGTTGGTATGAATGTTAAGCTTACTATATTGCAAAATGGAGTACAACGTCTGACTTCTTTGTATGTGCCATTGGGATTGTCAGAGCTGAGAAGCAGTAGCAACCTTAAATAGGCAACATCAATATAGCATGTGTTTTCTCTGCACCCTCCAGTAGACCTCTGCCATTGCAATGATGAACAGTGAAAGTGTATGGTTCAGTCTTCACTGGCTAGTCTGCTCGTTTCCTGGGGTGAGAGTGGAGAGGGGATGAAGTGCTAGGTTGAGTGGGAGAGAGGACTTACTCCTTCTTACATATTCTAATACTTAGCCCAATTTCCAAAATAGACTTCTGGTATTTTAGGGCAAATTCTGTTGATTCTCAAAGTTTTCTTCTTTCTGTAGCCTTCTCTTCCAATATCCACCTATAAACACAACCTTAACTTCATTATTGTTGGGTTTTTTTTGAAACAGAGTCTCACTATGTTGCCCTCAGTAGAGTGCTGTGGCATCACAGCTCACAGCAATCTCAAACCCTTGGGCTTAAGTGAGTCTCTTGCCTCAGTCTCCCAAGTAGCTGGGACTACAGGCACCGGCCACAACCCCCAGCTATTTGTTGTTGTTGTAGTTGTCATTGTTGTTTGGCAGGCCTGAGGCTGGGTTTGAACCTACCAGCTCCAATGCATGTGGCCTGCGCCCTAGCCACTGAGCTACAGGCACCAAGCCACAACCTTAACTTTAACTGCTAGTTTCTGATTCACATTGGCAACTCATCCACCTGCATAGATGCAGCAGCTTCTTGAAATCTTTTATGTGAAATTAAAGCCCATTTTGACAAGATAGCCAATGTGGTCTTAGCTTGCTAGCATTGTGGAAATCCTTGTGAGCAGTCACTGTGTATGGCTTCTCCAGTAAGTGTCCTAGTTCCATCAGCCCAGCCTTTGCTCTTTTCCCTCTCCCATCTCTTCTTTGCAGTGATGGGAGTTGAGTGGGAGATCAAGGCCTATAGGTAGGAGTCAGGGTACAGTACATGGCTGCTTTCCCTTGTCACCACTTCTAACTCTCTACCCACACCTACTTGTCTTCTGGCCACTAGATGATGGTAGAAAACCAACAGGACCTCATTTTCTTCCCATTTTAAAAAATTGAAGTATTACACATCTATGGTAAGGTATATACAGTGCATCAAATTTAAGAGTGTAACTTTGTGGCTCCTTTTTTTTTTTTGAGACAAGGTCTCACTCTGTCACGTGGGTTACAGTGCAGTGGTATCATCATAGCTCACTGCAGTCTCAAATTCATGGGTTCAATTGATCCTATGAGCTTAGCCTCCCCAGTAACTGGGGCTACAGGAATCCACCATCATGCCCAGTGACCCTCTTTATTTTTTGTAGAGACAGGTCTCACTCTTGCTCAGGCTGGTCTTAAACTCCTGGCTGTAAGTGATCCTCCTGCCTCAGCCTCTCAAAGCTCTAGGATTACAGGTATGAGCCACTACTCCCATCCAGCTGTATGGCTCTTTATGTATCTACCACTACCCAGAATAAAATATAGAAACTTCTATTAAACCATAAAGTTTCCTTTTGTCCCTTCCTAATGTATTCCTGTCCCAAAAGCAAACATTGTTCTGACTTCTAATCATCATCAATTTATTTTGATTATTCTCGAACCTCATTTTAATGGAATTAAACTGCCATGTCTAGTAAGCTGAGAGAGCTGAACACTTGGATAGACTTGGGGCACATTTGGGGAGGAACATGTCATGTTGTATACTTCCTGTTGCCTCATGTAAGGAGGCACATGGTGATAATCAGCGTTGTTTCCAGTAGGGTACTTCATCGTAAACTTCTCAATCAACCTT